AAAAAATATTTTTGTGTTTTAATTTTATAAAAAGTTTGAAAGGATTTCAGTTAATTATAATTTTTCTTTCATTTTTATTAGTAAATTTTTTTTTTCTTTTTAGCGTTTTTTTTTTTTTTAATTTCAAATTTATTTCTTAAATCACGGTAATTTAAGATTATAAAAAAATATTCAAATAAATTCCAACCGCACGATTTGAAATCATATCTGCTACTAAATATAAAATATTTTTACGTTTTCATTTGTTTTTTTAATGAATCAAAAAAATAAGAAGGAAAAAAAAATTACAAAAAAAAAAAAAACACAAAAAGTAAAGGAATGTCTAGTCATCTATAACACCTCGCAAAATAATTTTATTTTCGAAATTCCGGATAAATATTTATTTTCGAAATTTTACTTGTAAAAGCTTTTTTCATTTTATTATTAAGCTTCTTTCAAAATGAACATACATAATATACATATTATACTCGTATAACGGAAATGAATTTTTGCGCGGCAAAAATATAATCACAAGGTATTCGTGTTTGTTTGTTTGTTAGTCACATACATACATATTATATGGTTTTGACATTTAATACACCTAATTTGTAATTTACAATAAGAACATTATTTGATATTCCATAAACTTGCTCAACACTAAGTGTTACCATAAAATAATATTGTAAAATTATTATTTACCGTATTAAAATTATTTTCTTATATAATTATTTTAATTCTTTCAACACTTTAAATTCAACATTATTAAATAAGCAATAAATATTAACAAGGATTTTTACTTTATGCATGAAAAATTTAAACAGGCAATTTGGTAATTACATTTTACGATATTAGGAAGTTAATATTTTTTTTTTGTGGTATACATATAATAATAAGAAATAGTATTTCTAATGGAAAAATTTAAAATTTAAAATTTTAAAAATTTATTAAGACAATATTTCAAGGTCAGTTTCATTAATTGCAATTGAAGTTTTTGACTTAATGCGAACTTTAGAATACAATAATGAAATTCAAATTCAGGTGATTGTCAGATGAAAAATATACAATAGTTAAAGTGATTTAGAAAATGTCAGGTAAGTCTCTTTCTAATTATAATATATTAATCGAATCTTTCTTCATTTAACTGAATACAAAAATCAGCTTAAACGCTGATTATATCAGTAGAATTCAGTCAAATACTAGAAATAATTCCGTTTCCTGTACTTTTAATGCAATTAATTACAACTATTTAGCAATTTTTGTGATGTATAATTTCTTAATCGTATTTTTACATTTATATTTACGGCGGCCTTGTGGACGTGTAGGAGCTTCATCGGGGGGACCTGGGGAATTAGTCCCAGAATAGCACTGTGGCTATATACGGCCCTTGCTAGGCCCATCGTCACCTATGCGTCGATTGTATGGTGCCGTAAAGCTCAGCAGGCGGGTGTGCGGGCCAAGCTGGAAAAGCTACAGAGGCTGGCCTGCCTGGGAGTGACCGGGGCGATGCGGACGGCTCCCACCGCTGCATTGGAGGTGATGATCGGATTGCCGCCACTGCACCTCCATATATTGAAGGAAGCTCGGCTGGTGACTTACCGACTTCTCTCTGGCGAGGATGGGGCAGGGCTAAAGTTGGCCCACAGAACTCACAGAGACTTCATTGAGGGCGATCCGATTCTAAGGATAACCATGTCAGATACCTGTCTGCCGCGGTACAACTTCGACCACAAGTACAGGGTTCTGTTTCCTGATCGATGGACGTGGGATCGGGGTGGTCCGGTACTTAGGTCGGGTTCGAGCGTGTGGTATGCGGACGGGTCCAAAACGGAGTCGGGTGTGGGCTCGGGCGTATACGGTGTCCGCCCGGACACGCGTGTATATGCAACCCTTGACCCGTATTGCACAGTGTTCCAGGCCGAAATACATGCAATAGAGATCTGTCTGAGAATCAATTTGGAAAGGGGGTATAGAAACCGCACCATCTATGTGTTCTCAGACAGCAGGGCTGCACTGCTGGCGCTCCGTTCAGCTCAGGTTACATCCAAGCTGGTCTGGAGCTGCCTTGCTGCACTTATGGAATTGGCATCGGAAAACAGAGTGATGCTCATTTGGGTGCCGGGCCATAGTGGCCATGCGGGCAACGAAGTTGCCGATGAGTTGGCGCGGAGGGGATCTGGGCTGCCTTTGTGCAGCCGTTGCCTTTCTGTGGTCTGCCTTCTTCCGCCGTGGGGGCCAGGCTTGCCTGCCTACTCGCGGCGGAATGCAGTCGTCACTGGCGGGACACGAAAGGGTGCCGTCATGCGGAGGTGTTTGTTCCGGCGTGCTCCGGCGGATTCGCTGCGGAGTTGCTGGGGATGAGCAGGAGCCGGGTTCGCACTATTGCGAATTTCTTCACGGGGCACTGCCCGGTGAAATACCGCCTGCACAGGCTGGGGAAGTCGGGCTCCCCCCTGTGCAGATTTTGTGGGGGTGGCGATGAGACCGCCGTGCACATTCTCTGCGACTGTCCGGCACTGGCTGTTCGGCGCCGCAATTGTCTTGGACATGAGTCCCTAAGTGTTCGGGAACTATTGTCCAACTCCCTTAGGGATATCTCCGGCTTTGTGATTGGGACGGGGATATTATAGACGGGAGAGTGGGGTAGCTACAATAAGTCAAAAATGGCTGCGGTGGCTTGGGGGGATGCTCCTGTCCCACTCGGTTCCCTTAGAATCTACGAATCTACGAATCTACATTTATATTTAACTTTTAATACTATTTTATATTAATTAAGCCAAATTGATATTATGTTGGAATTACGGGAAATAGTTGGTTTAATATTACTTTAATATGATTTATAATTTATTTCAATAATTAAAAAAGCACAATTTTTATTCCCAAATTTTTTTTTTTTTATTTATCAATGTATTTTACAAAAACATAAATTTAAATTAACGCTTTTTGGAATATTTGTTTGTTTCCTTTTTTTTTAATATATATTTATCCATTCTAATTTAATATTTTTACAATGTTGTATTATTAGATGTATATATGTATAATATTAAATTTAATACTGTTTTAAAAAGATATACATAATTATATACTAATATAATTCTTTTTTTTCGACAAAATTTAGGTTTTTTTTATTTTTTTTTTAATTTTTCTTCTTTAATAAATTCCTCTTAATAATTTTTAATTAATAAAGTTTTTTTTTTTTATTAAATTTAGCTTTCTCTTAGAAATTATTACAATTTTTTAATTATTATATTATGAATATTTAAAAATTATTATATATTTATATTATTTATATCGATTTAACTAAGACAAAAAATTTTACTAATTTAAATTTTTGCTAAAATTTTGTAAATCTAAAAAATTGAAAAAAGTAAAAGAATCAAAAAGAGCGTCTTCGATTAAAAGAAAATTATTTTGTAAAAAAAAAAGAAAAGCTAATCCGGTTGGAAATGTTAATTTTTGAAATTTTATTAAAATATTTTTTGTTTTTAATAAAACTCAATTGAATGATTAAATAATAATTATTACAAAATATGTGCAATTATAATTTTATAAATATAACAAAATAATTTAATTAAATCTATTAAGTTGAGATCATTATTAATAAAACTTATTGAATATACTTAAAATATTTAAATTAAAAAACATTAAAATTTTAATTGTAATTTAAAATTAATAAAAATCAAATTGCATAAAGTCGAAAATTTCCAGAAAAACTTAGTACATTTATTTTGTTAGTTATGACGATAAAAAAAGCAAATTTTTAGAAGAAACAATAAAAATATTAAATAGTTTTTCTTAATAATATTGCACGATCTTTATTAAATTGAATGTTAAATAATGTTATTTAATATAGTTCTAAAATTAAACTGATTTCTTTAGTGATTTTTTATTTACTTATACAAAAAAATAATTTTTGTATAATTACAATTTATAAAATTTGAATTAAATTTGAAAAAGAATTAAATAAACTTATAAATATAAATAAAAATAAATAAACTTATGTATTTTTTAAATAAAATAATTTAAAAAAAAATAATAACAACATAAATATATTAGAAATTAAATTGCAAAAAAATATTATATTTTAATAAAAAAAAATAAAGAAAAACACTTGTTTAGATTTTAAAAATTTTAAAAAGCTCTAAAGAAAATATTTAAAAATCAGTATAAGTTAACACTGATTTAAATAAATTGAATAAATTAAATTAAATACAATAAAATAAATAAACAATTTCAATAAATTAAAATAAAACATTTAAAAAAAAAAATAAAAATAAAACAATTTAAAAAAAAAAATTAAAACAAAATAAAATAAATACGAAAAATTATTATAAGTTTTGACTAGAAATCGATTTGAATCAAATTTTCCATATAAAGTTTATATATTTGCATAGTTATACTTTTTTAGAATAAAATAATAAAAATTAAAATATAATTATTTTATAGACTAGAATTATTTTTCTCTTTTATCCGTTTTTTTTTTTCGTTTTTTTGACTAGAACAGTTAAGTTACTCTTAAATTATTAATTAAAATTATAAATTATAAAAAAAAACTTTTTATAAATAAATATTTTTTATATAAATATTAATAAATAAAAAAAAAATACCATTAAATACTAAATTATCCTATTTTAAATATAAATTTATGGACAAAATTACTAGACCAAAACAAAAAATTACCATTAGAGGAAATGTTTTTAAAACATTATTTCTTTTTTCGCAAGATATTGTTCAAAAAAAATCTTACATACTTATATTATATAATATTTAATATAATTTTTTTCTTTGTAAATTCTGAGAAAAAAAAATAAAATTATTTACATAATTATTGTATTTATATTTTAAAAAATATAGAAATCCTGTTAATATTTTCGCCATTTTAAATAATCTCAGGTACATTTATTTGTGAAAAACAAAGAAAATTTAAATTGGCAAAAAAATTTCAATTTTGAAAAAGTACAATAATTTATAAAAAAAAAAAAAAAATTAATTAAATTTTAATTTGAATTAAATTTTTCGGTTGTTTCTTATATTCATGTTTTCTGTTTGATTAGAAATGATTTTAATTTTGGAAATAAATTTTATAGATCTAAAATATTTTCCTATAATATTCAAATATATATTATAATATACGTACTTTTTAAAAATTCTATAATTTTAAATTTATGAATATAATGTATATACGATTTTTTTTTTCAATTATTAAAATCTATTTAAATTATTTTTGTTTTCTCTTATCAATCATATAAAACATTATTGATATATTATGTATAATATATGGTCTTATACTTATTATTAAAACTTTTTTTATATATTATTTTAAATAAGTTTCGATGTTCACTGTTCTATCATAATGTCTTCATTTTTTACATTTATTCCCTCCATAGCTTTTGTCAGTACTGTAGCATCTTTTAAACTTAAAACTTGTAAAACTTGTGGCTCATTATTAGGTCCTTGAACCATTATCTGTTGCATACCGGGTGATATCGTTATAGTTTCCATATGTTCACCATTTTCAATCTACATAAAATAAGAAAAATATTTTTATGTTTAATATGTGTAATTAAAAGTTAATATTTCCAATTCATATAAAATCAATTTTAAATTTTATTTAATTATAATAGAATATACTAATTCCAAAAAAGAAAAACAAAAAGGAAAACAAAACCAAGCTCGTGTAAATTCCTATTTACAAAAAATATTATGAAAATTATACAAAACAAAAATTACAGAATTTAAAACAGAAAATATAAAAAATCAAAATTTTACAAAAACATAAAAGTAAAACTTACATTATTGTTGAATAAATTGTTTTGAAACTAAATATTTTTCTAAATAAATTTTTTTTAAAATTAATAAGTGCAATTTTGAAATAAAACTGAAAAAATATAAAATAATTTTAATTGAAATAAACAAAAAAAATTAAAATTATTTTCATTTTTGAAAATTTTTATTTATTTTATCTACTGACTTATTTATTGCACATTTATTTATTTTGATAGCATACAAACAACACATTTATGAAATTTGACTACTAATTTCTTAAAAATATTATTAAAATAACAAAATAAGAAATTATATTTTATATAATTTATATACAAAATAATTTTTATATATTTCATATATTAAAATATATATATATATATATATTTTACATTTATAATACATATATTTTATATTCATATACATTATTAAATAAAAATAATTATATAAGGATAGTGGTGACAATAGATGCAAAGGACTAAAATTAAAATAAAAATTTAAAATAAAATAATTTAAAAGATTAAGCTATAATAATATAATAAAATAACAATAAACAATTAAAAGTAACTTAAATTTTAAAAAATATTTTTCTAAATTTAAGAGATTTTCAAAAAAAAAAACATCTATTTTTAAATTAAAAAAAAATTAATTTTAAATATATTTTTAAGTATAACAATTTGGTTATATTGAGTCCAAAACGGCGAACGAATAGGAAATAAAGAAAAAAAAATTTCTTATAAAACTAAACATTTAATATAAATCAAATAAAGAAAATATAAAAGAAGAAATTCAAATTCATAATTACATGTGTATTATAAAAATCAATAATTTGTTCTCTTAATATTCATTTTCTACAGCAAGTGTTCTTATTTTTCATAAAAGTAATTCCAAAAATTATAAACTATTTTATACTACAAATTAATCACAACATCAAAATTAAATTTAAAAAGAAACATACATACATATAATATTGGTATTTTTGTATTTAAAAAAAATAATTTTTTTTTTTAATTTCGTTAGAGAAAAATTTAATTAAAATGTAAAATTTATAATATTTAATAAGAACGACATTAAAAATTACGAATAAAAATAGTTCAATTTATTAATGAATTTGAATAACAATTAAATTTTATTTTCAATTTTTAATAAAATATGATCGAATTTGGAAGGAAAACAAAAAAAAAAATCATTGCTAAAATTAAAACTAACATTTTTAGAGAAAATTTTCGTTTAGACTTTTGGGATGTACTGAAATTTTAAAATTTCATGCAAAATATTGATAACATGACGTAAAGACGAAACTTATAATAGCATTTTCTAAAACATTGATAATATAAAATTTTCAACTAATCGAAAAATAAAATTTAAAAATTTAAAACCAGAAGAAAACAATACTGAATTTGTAAACTAAAAAAAAAAAAAAAAAAACATGTAACTAAGCATTGAAAAACATTTTTCATTAAATGAAATATTAACATTAAGGATTTTCTTTTATCCCTAATATTATAATAAGATTCTTACCACTTCAATTCCATTATCTCTAAGCTGTTCCCAAATATTTGATCCTGAAGAAACTGGAAGCTAGTTTTTTTTATTATAAATATTTAAAAATTAGAAGAAAAAAAGAAGAAATTTCAAAATAATCAATATTATACTTATAAACAGACTTAGAAACAGAAATCGTTTTGATATTTATTAAATTTAAATTTGAAAATCTTTAAAAACAAAAAGACAACACATCCCAAAGTCTAAAAGAACTATGAACTCGATATAAACCCTAATTATTTATAACTAAATTATGACTAGAATTTTAATTGTTTTTTTTTTTTGTTTTTTGGTTTAAAGCAAAAAATTAATGCTTTTCCGACGATTAAAAAAAAACAAAAAAAGTATGTTATTACATTAACTATTTGGCAATCTTATATCAATTTATTTTTCCAAAAATAGAAAAAATTTGGTAATATAATTCTTTTTTATTTTAGATACAATCTTCTTTTTCTATTTTTATACATTCCAATATAGGAAATTCATCATTATCATGATTATTTACAATTCTCGTTGAGTTATCACTTAAAGATTCAATCTTTTTTTTAACTTTATGATCTGCTGATAATATAGATAAATTTTGTTTACGACGTTTATTCTGTTTGATAATGATATTGTTATTATTTATATTATCATCATTATTATTGTTATTATTATTATTATTATTAATTATATTTATATTCTTACTAACAAAAAAAGATTTCTCATCAGCGATTGATGTAATGCTAGAACTATTATTGTTTGTTACATTCGATATTGTATGACCAATATTTTGACTAGATATATTGTTGAAATCATTATTCAAACTTAAAATAATTTTATTAGCTTTATTATTACTATTATTATTATTACTATTAATATTAATACTATTACTATTATTTTTATCATTTTTATTATTATTATCATTTTTATTAAAAATAATATTTTTATTTTCATTAAGGCTATTATTATTCATAACATTATCATTATTACAATTGCTAATATTATCATTAATATTATTTTTATTGATAATATCGGTACAACTGTTATCAAATTTACTTTTATTTTCATTATTATCATTATCAATACTATTATTATTATTATTAAAATTGATATTATTAATATTATAATTATTATTATAATTATTGTTACTATTATCTTCATCTATACTATTACTTTTATAAGATTTAGTTCTACTTTTATAAATAATATTATTATTATTATTAATGTTATTATTAATGTTATTATTAATGTTGTTACTAGTACTATTACTACTATTACTGTTATTATTAATATTATTGCTATTGCCATTATTATTACTATTACTATTTGAAATTTGTAATCTAACAGGATTTTGATGTAAAATGGCACGAATTATTTTCCCATGATTTAAAGTAGTTACATTATTTAGCGATACTGTATTAAAATTATTACCAGTATTTGTATTATTTAAATTAGCTACTTGAAACCCCAAAACAGATTGGGATCCTTGTTGTACAGTATAGCATTGATATTGATTTGAATTATTATTTGAATCTTGTACCTGCATTGGTGTAATGCAAACTGTTCCTTCACTATTTGGATGAATTTGTGATATATTTCCCATTATTGTTTGATACATTGAAGCTGGAACTGGTACCGTAATCATATTACTTACTGATACAGGATAACCTAAATCGATTAAATTAATTAAATTTAAGAATATATTAAAACTGAGAAAAGTTCTTAAAAACTTTTATAATATAATCAACAATCAAAATCAATTACCTTGACCATCTTCTCCCGTTATTATTATTTGTCCATCTTGTCCTAAAGTAGCTTCAGTTAAATCTACAGTCATATTTTCGTGACCGTTTGTATCTGTTAATTGTTGAACAGTCTGGATAGTTGCGCCACCTTCACCTTGAGTTGTATGAAGCTAAAACACAAAATGTTTTATCTTAGTTCATGTAAATTCAGTATTAACAAATAGTATAATATTGTTAAACCTAATATTGTTTTAACAAGTAAATTAAAAATTAGAATAAATTATTATTTATTCTAATATAATCATTTATTATTATACTTACAGTTGCTACTCCTTGCACTTGAGCAGTCGTTCCATCCGGTAAAGTGATTATAGGATTATTAGGATCGACTTGTATCAATGATATGGTTCCATCAGCATTTTGTATTGAAGAAATCACTGCTTGTGTATACTGTAAAGAGAAAAACTTTTATTGATATAGTAAAAATAAAAATTTTAATCAAACGAAAATTTATAAAACAGTTTAAAATAAACGTAGCAAAAATAATAAAAAACAAAGGCAATTAAATAAAGTATTTTATTTGTAAAATAAAAAACAAAAAAATATGCCAAAACAAAAATAATCAAGTAAATTAGAACATAAAACAAATAAATTAAAAATGCTATAAACATTATTTAAGAAATATCATAATCATAATTTAAGCTTGTAAAGTAAAACCTATTAAATAAGTCAACTAACAGAATTAAATATATTGCACATTTAATGAAAAATTTAAATTAATTTTTTAAATGAAAACTATTACTTTTAATAGTTTGGAGAACTCATTTCCAGAAAAAAATAATTGACCAATTTAAAGATTTTACTTAATTTTAAATATGTATAATTAAAAAAATTATAAATGAAATAAACAAATATAAAACAAAAATTTTTTAAACAAAAAAAAAATTTTAACTATAAAAACATTAAGGAAGATTGCGAGTACGAACATCGACATCATTCAAAGTCATTGGATCCAGGCAAACTTGAGCATTCGTGATAGTTTGCGCAGCGGCATTATTTGTGGGAGTAGTGTGAATTTGAATTTTAGTCGTACCATCTGAAGTTTGCTGTTGTTGAGTTTGAACTATTTGCTGCGTATGCTGTTGTTGTTGCTGTGATGACTGTTGATGTTGCTGTGTATGCTGCTGCTGTGATTGAGTTTGCTGTACTACTTGAGCATTTGATATTATTGTTCCAGAATTATGAATTTTTAACACACCAACCTGATTTTTAAATATTTAAAGATAATTGTCTATATAAGCTTTACACTTCTTGTTAATCAGGAAAAATTTGTCAATTGGAAACAAAAAAATACTACCATTTCTCTTATATCGAAAAGTTGCATAAGTAAGCGATTTAAAGTGTAACAATTAATTAAATATGCACACGAAATTTAAATCGAAGATAATTTTCATATTAACCACGATTTTACAACAAAAACAATGTGAACATATATTTAATTAATTTTCTACTCACATTATTATTATTAGTGACAACTGCAGTTGTCGTTGTTGGTGTTGTTGGAAGCATTTGACCAACTTTTTCTTCTTCATCAGAAAACGTTGGTAAGAGATCTTCTCGACCATGATATCTATAACAGTTAATAACTATTTTTCTCAATGCATGTGTCCAACTTATCTAAAAAAAATAAGATAAAAATATAAAAACAATTGTAATTGGCATAAAAGTCATTGCAGTCCGATTCACATACTTTTTGTTTTTCCTCGTCACTCCTTGCATCCATTCTCACATTCGCCCATGGAAGTTCCTTTGGCCACCAAGGAGGTCTCGTTGATTCTCTTCCCCAACCTGGTTTACCACGACCAGTTGAATATTTCAACATCAGTGGAATAAATGCTCTAAGCTGTGCTTGAGTCATTTTCTCAACTGGTGTTGGAATTCCATCAATTATTAAAGGTGGTAATTCAAACAATGATGGATCTTCTTGGGGTGGTGGAGGAGCTTGTTGGGCTAAAGCATTTTCTAATTCATCCATAACAATATTTTTTAAATTACGTACAACATCTTCAAGTGGTTTTGCACCAAAAACCTTATACGTTGTATTAGGTTTTCCTGGTGTTGCTACCAATACAATAGCTTGTTGTCCAACTCTTCCAGTGAACTCATATATAATTTGCCTTAATTTACGTAATAAACGGTTTTGTTGACGTTTTCTTATTGAAGGATTTGTTTCAAAAGAATGTGGTCTTTTACGTTTTTTCGCCGAAGCGATTGCAGCAGCTGCCGCAACTCCAACAGGTCCTGCCTGAGCAAGTTGAGATGCAACTTCATCATTTAATGTCATTTGCATTAAATCACCTTCCTCATATTGACTTCCGGGACTACTTGGCGGATCATCGTCATCGTCATCTGATTGACCACTCATTTGAACATCTTCAATCATTTCAATTTTGTAGGTTTTTTGATTTATAGTTGCAGTATTCGTACTGGTCGAAACGGTGGATACATTCATTTTCAGTTTTTAATGTTACTTTAAGGATTTGATACTTAATAATACTTAATTTAATACAGCAATTTTTGCATTTAATCGTTATTCTTTGGTTTCTTATTTTTTCTTTGGTTGATTTTGCCGCATTGAAAAAAGGAATCTGCGGACTTCCTAAAAAATAAAAATTAATTCTTATTTAATTTAATATTTGCTAAACTATATTTTCATTTTATTTTTTAAATATTTAAAAAAAAAAAATAATTTTAGCACCTTTCAACTTTTTTTATCATCCCTTGATATCAAATTATGCATATTATTTAACCTATTTTAGTAAAACCCGCAAGTCAAATTAGAACAAAAAAAAAACAACACATATAGATTAGAATGACTAAATCGGAACACCTTTTTTTACATTCCAACAATTCTAATAAAACGTTATGAATATTTGACTTTATTTTCCCCTTACTTTAAAACTCTAACAAGAATATAAAATATTCATATTTCACACATTTCATATATATGGGGAAGTAAATTGAAAAAACAAAATAATCAAGGGTTGGACTCATTTTCATAAAAACTGTAAATACGATCTAGTAAAGGTTCAATAACCGAAATTCATTCTCATTAAAAATCCTTAAGGTAAATATGATATTCGTTTCATACTCGTTTTACTTAATAGAACGAGTATGATTAAAGTAATTTACTTTTTAATTGAAAAACTTAATATTGCATGTCGCGTTCACGCATGCACCCCTTATATTTATTTTTATAAAGGAAGTAGTAAAACAAGCCAAAGGATTATGTTTTGTTAATGTATATGTTAGTATATTATATAACTACTATATATTATGTACGTATATGTACGTGGGGTAATAGGTCTTTTCAAATTTACTTATTCATTTCATTTATAGATTTTATTGTATTGAGCACGTAAAAGATTTTTGTTAAAAGGCATGCATACATATTTGATTTGAAATTAAATAAGTATTTTCCACTACGTATGTTAAACAACTTTTGTGTTATCAGAAAATTTTCAAAATGTAATTATTAAATGTTTGAATTTATACCTACTAACGTATGTAGATTAATTCAGGAATATAAAAATTTATATCTAATCGTTTTACATATTTCTAATTGTAATACGTTTATAGAATCTAAACAAACAATTTATTATTTATTTAATAACTTATTTTCCCACCGTTTGTTATCGTTATATAATACAACAGATTCATAAATTGAATATAATTTAATTTTATTAAATTTTTTTTCACGTACGAGTATTAAGCTGAATTTCACTATTTTATACAAAATACATTATAAGCTAAATATTTGAATTCAAATATTGAATTTGATTTTTTCAAAATTTCAAAATTATGTGACAGGTTCAATCACATCTAAAATAAATTGAGAATTTTTTAAAACAAAATTACAAAATTTAAATAATTTTTTTTAAAATAAAATAGGTATATATGTATGTAGAATTTGCACAAAAATTTATATAACTAAATTAAATTTTTTATAAGCTACGAATTACATGAGAAACATAAACAATTTTTCCATATTTAGTAACTTCACCGATAGATGTCAATAAGAACAACATTATTTTGCTTAATATTAATACAAGAAATAATATACCATATATATATACCCATTGGTTTTTTTCCCCTTATTACAATAAACTCTTGCCTCTGCCATTAATTTTAAGATTATTTTTTTGATTTAAAAATACAAACGTTTTAGTTTTTCTAGACCGTAAGATATTATAATTTTATTTTATTAATAACGTAAAATATAAAAGAGGAAAAGGCATTAACCAATAGTTAGGTCACATAGGGTTAACCCTAAAAGTTGAGTATTAAAAATGAGCTAAGATGCATGTTGAGATAAAAAAAAAAACAGAAGTACAATGTTTGTTTGCTTTTTCATTTGGTTGAACTAGTCTAAAAATTGTCTAAAACTGGTCTAAATTTTCATTCAAAATTATAAAATTCTTATTGATGCAATGTTTTTAATTTCTGTAGAATAAGAAATGAGCAAATCAATTTTTATACCAATTACAGAATTAAAATTATACTAAAATATCTTATTGGGAATTGTTTTTTTTTAATTAATTTATAATACGAATGTATGCCTAAAATATTTTATTGTTGAATTTTGAAATTTTTCATATTCTTTTTGACTAATATATTAGGCTATTTTTAACAAACAATAAATAATAATGTTTGTCGAATATTAAAATTTATAATAAATAGATATACAATGTATATAAATACATATTAGTATATAACAAATATATATATTTACACCATATTTAAATCTGCCATTTTAAGTTGCATCATATTTATTATTTTCTCGAATGGAATTTTCTAATTAGAAAATTTTTCAATGTTTTTATTTTGATTTCTAAATCATAACATAAACAAAAGCTAGCATATTTTTGTAATTAAAAGATATTATGACCGAGTCACAACCCAATTGAGCATGCATATTTATTAAAAGAAAAAAAAATTTAATGTCAAAGATAGACATTAGATATCAACAACCGTCAAGACTCTTTTTTAAACTTCACAAATAAAACAAACAGAAGCACAAGAAAAAAACAAAAACCAAAATACGCACATAATAGTCTCAATAGAATTTTTTTTTTCTGCTTTTTGGAGCTCTCCAAATAGAGCCCCAAAACATCAATTATTTTTTTTTTCTTGTAAAATCAAAATCTTTACCACTTTTTTTTGATTTGATAAGTACATTATTAATTTTTTTTTTAAAATGTTTTATGTTATCGGAAAGCACTGTTCATTTTCTATTAAATTCACCATATAAAATTTAAGAAATATGCAATTGTTTTGAACTTTTTTTTTTTAAAAAAGAATTCATGAAAACTCAAAAAATAGAGCAAGTCCAGTTACCTATATTTCTGTCACGGCTGCGTACGCACCTGCGTGTGGTTTTTGCTGTTTTTAAAACAATAGCAATAGTTTTTCACATAAACAACTAATTATTTAATAACTTTTCACTATTTTTAATAATTTATATCCATTTTTCTACAATATTTTTAATATTTTATTGTAGGACAGTAACCAGCTTTGACATCGAAGTATGTAGTTTTAACATATCTATTTTTTTACTCTTCTAACATTAATAGATTTTTACGATTGTCCTTTTCTTTGCATTTCTCTCCGATTATTGATTAATTTGAAGAGAGAAGAATAATTATCTATTTATTTTTCTCTTTCTATTCATAAAAATTTATTTTAACCCTTTGTACCTTTAAAATTATACCAATCAGGTCACAATAATTTTTTTTAAAATGGCAAATATTTAGGTAACATATTTTTGATCTTAAAAATACATAATTTGTGATATAAATTTGAGAAAAATTTTTAATAAACAATAAAAAAATTTTTCATTGAAAATTAATTACATAATATAGCAAAAATAAAATTTTGAGAGAATAATATGTTTATTCACAATAGTAAAACGACAAATAAAATTTTTACAATTCTTTAGACCAAATTTGTCACAAATTCAAAATAGATTTAAGAATTTAACATCAAAAATGTGTCGTTCTAAAATTTCTTATCTGTATTTTAATATTTTTAGTAAAAATGTATTTAAACAATAATTACGAATCATTTTGATGTAGACTTCTGTTATTACTTCCAATCATGTTTTTTTTGTTTGTACATTTATTATATATTGAGTACATTTCAGTTAATATTTTCAATTGTTGTTATTATATAAAAATTACATTTCGCTAGTTTTTATCACCGTGAACTTTTTTACCACAAATTACTTTTTATCCAAGACATATACCTTCGTTAATATCTTGACAATAAAAACAAGAAATTTTCATATATTCACAATAGTATTTTAGTCAATCAAAATAATTTTTTTTTTTTTTTGTGGTTCACAGTGATTTTACTAACACAATATTAATAAAAAAATAATTATGTATAAACAAGGATTGCTTATTGCATTAGTATTACAATCATGCCAGTAAGTTTCTGAAAATGCACACATACATATAATTTTTTCATATAGCAAGGCAATAAAACCTTGGGAATTAAGCTTGGGAATTTTTATTTTATATTAATTGAAAAAATTTTCTTTATGGAACTCACAATAGATGATATGCTAGAATGTGAAGATGATAATTGCTAGAATGTATAAGTTTTTTAGCTTAGTTATAAAAATTCATTCAATATAAAATTCTATTTTATAGCAAAAATTTAAGAAATCATAGCATTTTAGAAATTATATTTTACACACTAAAACAGAATTTTATGTAGGATTAAAGGTGTCAAAATCGTCATTGAAACTGACATTCAATTAAAATTTATTACTTTATTTTCAAACTTATTCATATATGAAAAATACATTCATTTTGCATTCATCTCTTTTATTTAATTCTGTGCATTTATATCTGAATTAACTATGTAGCTGGCCATACAATCCATTACTTTCCATCGGATTGTCTTTTCACCGGACTTAACTAACAAATTCAAAAGGCGATCATTATATACGAAGGTATTTTAAGGGACATGCATATAAAATTTATTATTAATATAATTTAATTAATAATTTCTCAATATATTCAATTATTTTTATTATAATAATTTTTTTTTCTTATTTTTGAATTTATTAAAAAACTTTTTACAAAATTTTACAAATGTTCTAATATATTCCTTTAATAAATCATTAAAAAATCAAAGTCAGATAATTATCCAACTTATCGATTATTTATCCAAAGTGTGACTTGGTAACAACGTTTATGATGCAGCAATTATAGATGAAACATGATAATATTTTTAAAATCTTTTATTTAAATTTTGTTATTTCCAAATTTCTGTTCTTCAAATCAAAATGCATCTATCGTAATTGATTGCAAATTAAAATGTTGTCCATGTATTTTTAGCTATTCCTAAAATAATAAAGAATATTTATATATATATAAAATTAATTATGTAAGGAAAAATTACAGAGCTCATAAAATATATTAAAATAATTTTTTTCAAATTTTCTAATTTTTAATAATTATAAAGCATTTTAATAATTATTTGATAATTTTTTAAATAAAATTTTTAATTATAAATAAATTATTATTTAATTTCGATATACATACCAAAATACACCAAAATTATTTAATTATACCATAATTATTTAAAATATTATTATATAAAATTACAATTTATGTAATATGTAAAGTTGTTATCCAAATCACAAAAATGCCCTTCATTAGGCAGCTAACAAAATATTATTAAAAAAAAAAGTTAGTCCTGCCCAATGACGGACTGATTTGTAATTCAAATCTCCTCCTCTTAATCATTTAATTTTAATTTTAATTAAATTTAAAATATTTAAACTAAAATTTCAATAATTAATTTTTAAATATATTTAATTAATTTATATTTTTATAAATTTCTAATATTTAATTTAAAATAAAATATAATTTCACTTGCGCTATAATGAATTAATCCCGCACATTTTATTAACACAGGCCAAAATTCTAAAATAGAAAGAATGTTAATGATTTACTTTAAATATTGCAACATCCTTTTTATGCGTTCAAATCATTGATAAGCTTGGAATTTATATATACTTAATTACCATATATTTTAGCTCAGTTTTAAAGTGTAAGTTTAAATTACACATGTATATAGTTTTCAGTTTAATCGCAAATTGAAAAAAAAAAAATAAAAATAATAATTAAATAAAAATAAATAAAATTCCAGATAAAAATTGTATGGAAATTTTAATAATAAGAAGAGAAATTTTGTTGTAAATTAAAAAAAAAATAATAAAAAACAGAAAATCTTGTGGGTTTTTCTTTAATTTGATAATAAAATACTCTTAGAAACAAAACTGCTATATATTCAATAACTGTGTATAAATGTATATATATATAAATATGTTTTATTTTATCTTTAAATATTATGTGGCAATCATTTTACTTATGTATTAAATGTATTATTACAGAAATGAACATAGTAATCAGTTTCAGTTATTTGCATATACACAATTTGAACAATTATTGTCCAGGGCGCCAAATTGTTAGTAAGGCACAAAGGCACTAAATTCATTTTAAAATAAATTGCTTTAAAAAAGTACCGAATTTACGTGAATCATCTTTTGTATATTACAAAATGCGAGAACCCTTATATTCAATCATGATTTTCAGGACACAAATACCTTCACATTCAATCATACGTTATATATGAAAAATAGACGTTAATAATATGATATATTATCTAGGGCGCAAATACAAATCCGATAAATCCGGATCTGACTATTTGAGATATGTGATATCTCAAATAGTTTTAATTAAAAATAGAAATAACATGAAATATACATTTAAATAAAATTTTAAAAGAAATTTCTTCTAGCTGCATCAAGCAATACATATTATATATACGTATATGATTTAGTGACGAAAATTATTATTTTATATTTGAAATCATAATATTTTAACTTAAAAAAAAAATTCTTTATCGCACATAATATAAGAAAAAACTAAAATAAAAATGCTGGTATAATATAATTTTATCTTGAACTTAAGACGTGCCTAATTCTGCGGCAATAAGGCAAAACAATGTATTTTACAAATACATTTGAGAATTTTTACTTATTTTAAATAGAAGCTTGGTTATCTCCGTTAAGCCCTCGATAATAGAATAATGAAAAATTAAATAATAATGTAAATTCACAAAAAAGAGTTGCTCAATTTGATTTTGCTCAATTGAAAATAAGTATCGACGCAATAGTTATTAGAAAAAATTTGGCTCTAATTTTCGGCTCTTATATTAATAGCACTTAGATAAACAAAATTTTTAAATTCTCATTTTAGAGTCTTTAATTATAAGCATAGAATTTTTCATTACCATCATATAATATCAATATTACCTAAATCTTATGTATACATAATTTAATCTGAAACTCAATTTAATATATAACAATTATTTATAACATTATAATGCTCTCTCAGTTCTAGTTATTAGTTCAGATTAAAATATTGTAATTATACTCATTTTAATTAACCAACAAAAAAAAATTATTAATTTATTTTTATTCAACATTATGTATTTTTCAAAAAGGAATACAAAATCATGTATATACATACATACATATTCAAATATATATATATACATATATATATACTAATTGTTTCTCCCTTATTTATAATTCAAATAATAATAATAACAACAAAAAAAAAATAAATAAATAAAAACACGAGAAAACTATAAAAAAGCTTTTCACGAGATTTTATAGATTTTTTCCAAAAATTTTTACAAAATATTTTCAATATTAAATAAAAAAATTATGAAGCTATATGTACATACTAGGCTATATATTAAGACAATCACGCTTATTATAAGAAATATAACAAAATATAACAAAATATAACAAAATATAACAAAATATCATAAAAAATCATCTACAATGCCTGGACAGCATAATAATAATAAAATATATAAATCAAAAAATAAGTAATTAAAAATTTTGATTTTAAAATCAAAAATATAAAATATTCAAATAATTTTTAATAATATTTTTATATACATATATTATACTTGTTTATTGTTATACAATGGTATATATTATATTACTCTGCTGATATATATGTAAATATTTTCTTTATATAACATGCTTATGTACATATAACAATATAATATATATATGTATATCCTTTCGTTTTTTAGTAGGTCACATCACGTGGAATTATTTTTCACATATATATAAATATATATATGTATACTTTATTGCTTTAGTATATCAATATATAATAATCTTGTTTAAATATATGTATATATGAGTTATACATTATAAATAAATATGATATGCAATATACACTCCATATATATACTTATATATATATATATATCATATAATTTACATAAAATATTAGAGCAACCAGATTATTATTAATATTAAATAATGTACCTATGTATATATACATATATCTATAGGAGAAAAAAGGATAAAAAAGTGAAATGAAATTATTATTTTTTTTTTTTATTGTAAACAATAAAAATATTTTCTCTTGAATATTTTGACAGAATGTTACATTATTTATAATTATGGTAATAAAATATTTTTTATAATA